ATTCAATTCTATAATGTCCTCTGCTCTTGAATCCCGTCCTCCCTTGTCTCATCAAAGATCATGTCTTGCCAAACTCCAGCCCTGGATTATTCTTATCATCTGCCTCCTTCAGTACTACTAATGTGTCTATAAATAGAGATGGAGAAGAATCATGCAAGCTTATATATTGGGTCTACTACACACTTGAGTTACATAATCTCAATGGGGCCTTCACCATAACAAGGCAATCCTTTCACATATCCCTAATCAATTCATTATCCCATTCACCATAGCTGCTTTTCCAAAACTTTTTGTCCTTTCTCAAACCTCTCATGGTTACTGCTGCCCCTTCAGTTGAGAATTTTGCCTCATATTTCACCGAAAAAACCGAGGCCATTCCCTCAAGAGCTCTTTCTTCTTCCCTTCTCCTTATGTGACATTAATCAAATGCCTTCCCCACTATCCTCTTTCATTTCATTCTTGGCTGAAGAGGTGGCCCTTCTTCCTACCAAGACAAACACCTCTATATGCACATATCATCCCATCTCCTCCAGCCTTCTCCAGCAGATTTCCTATCATTCCCATTTTCTCTTTATCTTCACCCTCTCTCTTTCTATCAATTGGCTAGTTCCTTGTTGTCCAAACCTACCCATGTCTCCCCCTTCACTAAAAACCCCTCACTTGATCCTACAATTCCATTACCCATCATCAAATATCTCTCTCCTCAAGGGGTTGAACCCATTGAGAAAGTCATCTACACAAGGTACCCACACTTCAAGTCCCCTCACTTGCTTCCAAATTCTCTGCAATCTGGCTTCTGATCTTATCATTCAACTAAAACTTCTCTGTCCAGAATGATCAATGATCTCTTTAAAAAAAAAAAATTGCCTGAAATTGGCCTTTGGGTAGTGAATTCTCTCCCTGCACCTTCCACCTCCAGTGTCAGAAACTCATGAAGAATATCTGTTAGGGTGAGGAGGGGTTGAACTCTGTATCAGTAGAAAGAGCATCCACCCTGACGGACTCATAAACCCTAGGAAAATGTGGGTTGACTTCCCATTATGCCAAGTTGAATTCAATATGTTAAAATGAATTTTCAATAAATGCCTTCCAGGTGCCAATCATTGTTCTTGGTTTGCTGGAGGACAATTTTTTTTTGAGTATTATTTTATCATTTAAAAAAGACTGAGTTCTAAATTCTCTCTCCCCACTGCCCCTCCCCCACCCACTGAGAAGGCAAGCAATACAATAGTTACACATGTAAAAGCATGCAACATATTTCTGTTTTAGCCATATCACAAAAAAGCAAGAAAAATGTGACAATTTATCAATTGAGTACTGTCTCTTATTTTTACAAATTTGACACAGTTCCCAAATATTTGAGAAAAGAAGCCTTTATCAGAAAAACTTGCTATGAAAAATTTTGATATTATTTCACTGTCTGTGAGTTCTGTTTTGGAAATAATGATTTTGAGGTGCCTATGGGACAACCAATTCCAATAAAATACAAAATAGTCTTTAAGTTTCTTCATAGTCTGGCCCCTTTCTATCTTATCAGTCTTTGTATGCTTTTGTGCCCTCCATCTACCCTACGATCCAGTCATACTGGCCTGATTGCTATTCTTTGAACACAAAACTCCATCTTGTCTCTGTGTTTCTCCACGGGTTGTTTCTCAGTCCTGGAATACTCTCCCTCCTTACCTCCACCTCTTAGTTTCCCTGGCTTTGTTCAAGCCTCAGCTCACATCCCACAGAAGGCCTTTCTTTCCTTGACCTCCCAGTAGCTAGTGCCTTAACTTCTGAGATGACCTTCCTCTAGTCCACCAAAAGACAGTAGGATGACAGAGCATGAACCTTTCCCTTCCCCAACCAACCCTTTTTGCCCAGTTGTCCAGTTTCCACCAGTCACAAGATTCCCACTGTCAGTTGGATGGTGACCCCTACATCTTTATTCTGCCGAAAAGACCCCAGAGCCTCAATCTACTTTAACCCTTAGGTACCCTCTATCCTCTTGGAAGCAGACCATCTGCTGTACCATTACTGCCCAGGGTCCTCAGTGCTTTGCCATCTGCTTGACTACTTCCCCTAATTACTACCTGGACTTTCCATCTGTCACAAATTCAACATGACTATGAATGCTGTGTGGTCTATTCCATCAGAATATCAGCCCCTTGAAAGCAGAGACTATCTTGATTTTCTGTTTCTATCTCTAATGCTTAGCGCAGTGCTTTACATACTGCAGGTGCTTAAAACATGCTTTTGCATTCCAGTACAAGTAGTCGGTATATATCTTGTATTTGCTTATTTATTTAGATGTTGTCTTTCCCATTAGAATGTAAGCCTCTTGAGGTCAGGGACTGTTTCTCCTGCACATAGTAAGCACTTAATGAACGCTTCTTGATTGATTGCTACTCTAACCACCTTCAAGAAACTCTCCTTGAACCCCTCAGGCAGTTAGGATGCTGGCCCCTTCCCACTGAACTTGAACCTCCTGGTTTACGAGGCACATCTGAATCCTTTCCTATGATTATTCTCTGCATATGGGCTGCATCTGACTAAACTGTAAAGTGCATGAGCAGAGACTGTGCTTTATTTAACCCTTGCAACTTCCTCCTACATTTTAAGCTCAGTCCTCTGTACACAATAAGTGCCTAATGCATGTTGCTTAAAATTGAAATGTCCTTAGTCACTAACCAAAAACAAATACATAGTTATCATCCTCAGAACACATTTATTGAAAATATTGCTTTAACAGGATGGTAGATGAGATACACTATGAAAATATAGATCAGCTATATCAGATTGTGCACCATCTTGGGGAGGGAGGCAGGAAGAGGGGGGAGAAAAATTTAAAACTCAAAAGCTTATGAAAGTGATTGTTGATAAATCAAAATAAATTAATAAAAAATAGTAAAAAAAGAAAAAAGAAAAAAAAAAGAAAATATAGATCAGAAACTTTCTTGAGGGGAAGAACTGCCTGTCTTTTGCTTCTTTTTGTATCCTCAGCCCTTAGCACAGTGCCTGGTATATAGCAGATGCTATTTTACGTTATTCTTAGAGCACTTCTGGGCAGATAGCTTAAGGTAGGAACCATTTTGGGTATTGATGGCATCTTAACAATTGATTGATTGGGGAAGATGGTGGCTGAAGAAGAGAAGAAAGAAGAAGGAAGAGAGCTGAGTCCAGCTGGGCAGATTGGGGGTGGGGGGGGTGTCCAGCTCTTGCAGGAGCAGAGGGCAAAGCCAGGGTTTCTGAGTGCCAGAGAGCTTGGCTCTGGACACTCACCATCATTGTGGGTGGTGTGCTGGGCCCCCCTGGACAGGTCCTGGAGGATAGAGCAGCCAGAAAGGGAGAGACATGTCTCAGTAGATGAACAGCATGAAGTGTCTCTGTATCATGCTGAGGGCTTCCTGGAGGTGCCCTGGGCTTCTCTCTCTCTCTTTCCTCTCTCTCCCTCTCTCTCCCTCTCTCTCTCTCTCTCTCTCTCTCTCTCTCTCTCTCTCTCTCTCTCTCTCTCTCTCTCTCTCTCTCTGGCTACTCCCCGGTACTTCATAGCTTGATTCAAGTCCTCTAGATCTTCCTAGGGGACACAGTTCTTCTGGGAGACTCCTGGGGTTGCTTCTGGCTTGGACCCAGGGGCTATTGCTTCAGCGGGCAGCCACAGGAGAGGCTGGCACTATTCCTTCAGTCTATCCCACGTCAGCAAAGTGACTGCCTTCTGCTTTGAACTTTGAGGGGATGACACCTGCACCACCCTCAGCTCATCCAAACATGGATGAGCATCATCATGGAAGCAACCTGTCACCCAAGTGGTAACGCTAAGGTCTTCCAGGCTCTATGCACCAGCAAATTTGTGGTTGGAGAGATGATCTGGGGTGTCACTCATGACCAAGAGTGGCTATAGTCTTCAGCATCAGTGCTCCCCATATTCACCATCAGAAGTTCCTGCTATTCCACCCACCAGGATCTTCCAGTCAAGTGTCTGGCACTATCGACATCCCATTGCACAGTGGTGTCAGGCCTGGCCCTGTCATCTTTCTGTTCTTTGTGGAAGCCACTTTGGAGAGTCCTGGCTAGGCTGTGCTGCCCATAGCAGAATTTTCACCGCAAATATAAGGTAAGCCAGGTTGCTCACCTTACCTTCTGAGAAGGTCCTGGATTATCTTCCCAAGACAGGGGACAAAAAAGGACCCTACTTGATATCTGATCATTGTTAAGATGCCATCAATACCCAAAATGGTTCCTACCTCAAGCCATCTGCCCAGAAGTGCTGTAACAATAAGGAAATCTTTTGAACCTAGCCTTTGCTTTAGGAATCAGCAAAATACTAAAAAAAAAAAAAACCCAATGCATTCCCACTAATCCTGGCTAAGAACATACTGGGTGATGCCCTAACTTTGGTAGGTATTAAGTGGGCACACTCTGAGGGACTTATTTTGGACAGGGGGTGGTTAATCTTAGGTAGGGAAAGTATGTCTTTTCCTTGGAAGTTGGGCAGATCTCTCCCCTCACCTAGGGGAATACTGCAATGGGGAGACCCTACTCATCCTGTAGATACTGTCCAGAGGTAGAAATGATCAGAAGGGTCTCATTTAGGGTGAAGTTAAACTAACACTAACTTTCTCCTGCCGGATGGACACGCTACTAGAGCCCAGGATACCCCCACTGTTGATGGAAATCTCTTCCTGAAAATGTCTTTTAATGAGTTGGATTAGAGAGGGTGGAAAAGGGAGGATGAAAAGGAGAGAGGAAGACCTGAGTGGACCGCAGTTATCTTGATACCAAATGTATGTGCTGACAGTGAATTTTATGCCGAAGGAGAAAAGAAAATATGTCAATCAATCAACAAGCATTTATTAGGGGCATACTATGTGCCAGGCAATGTGCTAAGCACTGAAGATACAAAGAAAAAGCAAATGTATCAGTGTCCTACAAAAAGTATTTTTTCAGAAGTATAGAGATAGATTATTAACATGGTGACTTCAGATGTAATGCCTGAGTTATAAACTTGTTTACCACCATATGTATTTCAATCATCAGGGATTTATTTTGTCAAGCATTTATCAAAAAACTATCACTTAAAAGCAATTACACCTTATACAGGGATTAAAATGAAACAAAATCCTTCTGCCTGTCATCTTTGAATGGTTGGATTTTTTAATGTATTCAATCAAAAGGTAAGTTCTATTGAGAAGAGGATGAGCAAAGAGCCAGATGTCCTGTGGACTACATTAATAACATCCCATTTACGAAGAATGTCTAGTTTATTGTACACTAAGCCTTCCACAAAGACTTTTAATCACACTCTGAGAAAATTCATGCCGCAGATTAAAAATCTACAATGCCCAAATCTAAACAATGTAAGGTTTTAGCTACACAAAAGGCGAGTGTCTTCATTTGATGAATCACTCAAAAAATGAGAGACAAATCGTTGAAGTGCTCTCCCTTCACAGGGGAAAACATATAAAAGGTAGGGACAGTGGAGGAAGGATGTCAAGTGAGGAGGCTTTCTTTTCCAAGGCACTTGCATGGTCCTAGACAAACAGCAAACAGGAAGAATCATAGACATGGGGTTCTCATCCTACATGCTCATACTAACTTTGTCTTTCTTCTCCCAAGCATTTTTGCTTTCAGCATCAAAAACCATGAGAACCGTTGAGGACGACATGCTCCTAAATCCATTTGGGCTAGGCAAAGCCCTTCAGAAGGAAGACATTGCAGAGAAATCCGGAGCTGCACCTTCCCTTGAACATTATAAATCCGAGGAGGGTGGCTACATCAACGAGGAGGAGAGAAGAAATCCAAAGGTATGAGTCACTATCCACTTCCATTTTCCTTAACATCAATAGAAGTCCAAAATCATTTGTACCTGTCTTCTTAAAGCTCCACAAAAAATATCTATGATTGATAGTTATGGCTTTAATGTAATCCTGTTGATGTCTCAATTATCATCAATGTGATGATTGAAAACCCTAGAAGGTTTTCAGTCCTATTGAACACTGTTCATGCAAGTGTTTCTGAACAAAAATTAAACGGGTGTCACTAATTAACACACACATGTTGTACCCACTTCCATTTTATAATAAGAAAGCTGAAACATAATTCAACTTTTTCTTTTAAACAGAACGTAGGCTCCAAACATAGTTTCTTAAACCGTGGTCTTCCGTTGAGCCTAGCTCTTAAGCAGCTCCCTTATCTTGCACTGAAGGGATCAGTGGCTTTTCCAGCTGACAATGGAGTTCAGAATATTGAATCAACACAGGAGAGGAGAGAGATTGGGGATGAAGAAAACTCAGTTAAATTTCCAATAGGAAGGAGAGATTTTGACAGTGAGTAGTTTTATTTATTCAACTCAGACATCTTAAAAGTTATCAAAAACGGGAATATGGCTTTAGAAATAGATAATTAAAACAATATCAAACAAGAATACCATCGTAAAAATACAATTTTTAATATAAAGCACTTAGCACACAGTAAGTTAACTAATACTGATGAAATTATAGCAATTCTGTTTACTCAGAATTACTACATTAATCGAATCATTCTTGTACTTCTAGTTTAGTCACTGTAATGTAGTTCTTTTAACAATCTAAACTTTTGGAATTCTTTTCTCCCTACACAGTGCTCAGGTGCATGCTGGGAAGAGTCTATCGACCTTGCTGGCAAATCTGATACCTGCAGGCCTACATCATCTTTTCCCAAGAAAACAAAGCTGTTTAGGTGCCAGTGAAACAAAACATGAAAGTTCCTGTGCTTCGTAAATGTACATGTGATCAATGTTTGTATTTTGGAACAAACAGTTGAGATTTTTCCTGGGTAAACTAAATGTAATCATTTTGCCGTATAATAAACTTTGTGAGAATTCAGCACAATCATGATTCATTTGTCTGTTTGACTGATGTAACACCTTCTATGTTCTACATTTCAATCAGACAAAGCACTAGTGTACTTGACATGTTGATCTTTCCAAAGGTGATAGTCATGACCTTTTCGCTGATGACTTGGTTTTTGGTAGTGACTAATACAGACACCCAGGGAACAAAAGAGACAAATTCAGAGTCTAAAAAACTGAGTTAATTTTGTCTGCCCTGCAATCAATTTATTCTTGGTGGCTGGCTTGCAGCCTTTTACTGCTGATCTGGCTAGAATTTGGTTTGATTTACTCTGTAGATTGCTCGACGACTTAGGGATCTTACTCATTTGGAGCCGAGACAGTTCATTTTCATGATCACAGAGGCCATTGTCACCATTCAAATCCACCTGTTTCCTCTTGGGGCCCTTGTTTCCTGTCTGACCACTTGATTTTTTGGATAATCTTTCATTTTTACTTCTGTTCAGCTGAACATTTCCAGAATTTGTTCCAAGGGTTGGTACTCCATCAAATGAATCCGTGCCTTCTATTATGCAAGAGGTATAAAAAAAAAAAAAAGGAAAATAAACACCTATTCAGTACTACTGCCCAGAAGAATTCAGAGTAGACTAACGCATTCAAAGGTTATATGTTTTCAACAAACATTCTTTATATAAAATCCGGTCAGCTGATTAACTAAATAGGAATGCTCTGGAGAGAGAGGGTATCCAATGTAAGCACATCACCATTAAACTCCTCGGTCTTCAATTCTTATCTCTTTACATCGCCTAAAATGTGATTCTCAACAAAATACTTTCTTTTAATAAACAATTAATTTATAATTTTGTCTAGTCACAAAGGTTACTTATAGAAAAAATATTTTAAATATTTAACTCTCTATGACTTTGAGCTAGTTTGCAATTAATCTTAAAAATTAAATTTGTTATGGAATTTAGTACAAAACTAAAAATATTAGCCACTCTCATTTTATATAGCATCTCCATCCTACTTTTTGGGAGGACTGGGAGGGAGGAGGGTCAATCTGGACCTAGGATTTCACTGCTGAAGGGGATTTCCAACATGGAAACTCTCTCTACTGATGCAGACTGGCAAATCACTTGCCCCTTAGTAGAGAACCGCCTGGGACAAGAGGAGGTGAAAAGACATGCTCTTGGTCAGATAAGCAGTAAGTGACAAAGGCAGACCCTTGGATCTCTACATGTTGCTAACTATAAGGTTAGCTCCCTAACCACTAACACCAAGTTGCTTCTCATATTACTCTATATTACCACATTATTTAAAAGAATCTCTTACTTTGTAATTCCCCATTTAAAAGTTAAGCCTGGGGCAGAGAAAACATGGCCATAGATACTACGTTTGGGGAAGATAAATGCTTGGGGAAAAGTGATATGTTCCACTTTGGAGAGGTTGTTTTTAAGATGTCAACTAGACAGCCAGGAATCAGTGTCTGGACTGGAGTCCCAAAGAGAGATTAGGAATGGATTTATGGATCTGAGAGTAGTGTGCCTACAGATAATAACTGAACCCATGAGAGTGGATGAACTCACCAAGGGAAAGAATATACAGACAGAATAGGGTCCAGAGTGGTGTCTTGGATCACATACACTTTTAGGGGGCAGGAGATGGATGATAATCTAACAAAGGTAATTGAGCAGTGGCCAGAGAGGTAGAAGGAGAAATGAAAGACAGCTGTCATCTAGGCCAAGGGAAAGAAAGGGAGCATCCAGGAGGAAGGGAGTAATATATGGTGTCAAATATAAACACCTTAAGGCAGAAATGGCCATTGAGTTTAGCAGTTAAGAGATCACAAAATATTGCTGGGAGAGCACTATTATGGAGTGGTGGTAGGGTATGAAGCCAGATGACGGAGTGGTGAAAAACGACTGAGTGATTAAGAAGCAAAATAGTCAATATGGCCTCTTCTTTTTAGAATAGGGACTTGTGACCTTTTTTGTGTCACGGACCCTTTTGACGGTCTGGTAAAACTGATGGAACTCCTCTCCAAATCATGTTTTTGAATAATTGGAATTTTAAATTTCACTTAAAGGTTAATGAAAATAAAGATGTATTTTTCCCCAAGTTCACAGACTCCTGAAATCTATCCATGGAAGCCAGGCTAAGAACCCCTGTTCTAGAAGCCTGGGAGTAAACGGGAAGAGAGTTTGAGAAGGCTAATTTGAGGAGACGTCAGGGTCAAGTGAAGGTTTGTGAGGACAAGTGAAGCTTGAGAAAATTTGTAGTCAGTGGGAAAGGAGCGAGACAACATGTAGAGATTGAAATGAGGGAGAGGGAATAACCCATGGGGAGAGATCCTAGAGGAGTCTGGAGGGAATGAGATCAAGAGTTTAACCTCAGCAAACAAGAGAACCATCTCCTGCTCAGAGACTAGAGCAAAGGAGAGGATGAATAAATATATTGAGGGGACATAACGTACAAAGGAGAAATGAGAAGACTGGTGACAAATGATCTTGATATTATCTGCTAACAGACAAGAAGAGGCAGCACCGGGGGCTTACAAGAGAAAGGAGGTGTAGAAAAGTCATTACGTAGAATGTGATAGACAATCAATCGGAAGAGAAATGGATTTCCATTAAACAATAAGAGTCTATACAAGATGACAAAAAATGAATTTGTAATGGATATTGCCAGCACTGTTGAGTGCTTCCTTCTAAAAAACATTCAGTATCTCCTGCATCAGCTCAGAAAAGGCAGATGGGGAAGACGACCAAGGGTAGGGAGTTGGCAGAGGTGAGTAACGAGCCAACGGGACAGCAAGGGATTCAAGGGTGGAAGATGCTGGATCAGCGAACTGGTTATCTATGGGACTGAGACTGTTTAGGGAGGAAAGTAAGGGCAGGGAAGGAATGATGGACTGACAGAATAAGTGAAAGGGGAATTGCACAGGCAGGCATAGAGTGAATAGAGTCTGCAGTGAGGATAAAGGATGGGTTTAAGAAGAATAAAGTAGAGTGAGCTGCCTTACAATAAAGAATAATGATCAGAGAGAAGAATTTAAACTTATATGTCTATACATAATAACTTTTCAAATGAAGAACAAAAATGGTATCTAAAATACTCCAATGTTTTTTTTCTTAATTTATGAAGTTTAAGATCAATCAAAAGTTCAAGTGGGATGCTTTATGCACTTGCAAACTGTTATGTAGTTTCACTTAAGCAAAACACAACATTTTATTTCATTTAAAGAAATGAATAAATTTCCCATCACTTAAAAAACTTTGTTTTTTTGTTGTTTTGTTTTGTTTTGGGTTTTCCATTCTGCTGTTAGTTCAGAGTTAGTTATAAACCGTTCAGATAACGGGACAGCAATTACCAGTAAGGGCATTTTGCAGGTGAGGCGTGCATGCTGGCTCGTCTTCTGTCTGGTTCCTCCAGCTGCATCTCTCATGGCTGGTCATGAAGTCCTCTTTGTAAGTGCAAGCAAATTGGGACCTAATTAAGGTTTGTTTCATCTGGTGAAGCAATAGAAGAAAATGAACAATCACTAATATGCTTATTGTTCAGCTAAGGCTCATCTCACAAAAATCCTTTAAAATTCTTCTGATCATTACAAGTTTCATTCATCTTGAGTCCTGAAATCCTTTTCTGATGTCTTGCTCCCTACTGCCTGTGTGGCCTTGGACAAGTCGCTTCTCGCCTAATCAAAGGAGTTGAACTAGACCCATCTAAGGTCTTTTCCAGCGCCAGTTCTATGAGTCTACGAATTCTCACGACAAATTTGTTTTTGTTCATGTATCTTTCAAGTCAGAAATTGGTGACACTGAATTAGAAAAATAAATTAATTTCAGAGAAAATTATGCTCCATGGATAGTATGAAGACTTCTCAAAGAAATTAAAGTCTGACAATTTGGGGGTCATCAGGGAAACAGCACCTTGAATTAAAACTAAGTTATGCTATGAATGACATTCTATGACTGCTAACCCTCTGGAGATTGCATCAGACAGCTCAGTGGTGTGGTTGAAGGACTCAGTGTCAGTAAGAATTGAGTGTGAATCCTGCCTGAGAAACTCAGTGTGACCCTGGGCAAGTGACTTAACTTCTCTCTGCCTCAGTTTCCTCATGTGTAAAATGGGGATAATAATAGCACCTATCCCAGAGGGTTGTTATGAAGGCAGAATGAAACAATACAGGTAAAGCAGTCTGCAAACCTTACAGTGCTTTATAAATGTTGGCTATCATCCTGGCTAAGAGTAGCTTTGGAGCACACTGAAATAAACAACTATGAATCTTTCCAGAGATAATGGCAACGATCTCTACACCAGGGAGAAATGCTCCTCAATTGTGCATTAAACAAAATTAGAACAAGCTTCCATTCAGAGGGCACAGAGAAACAGCAAATCTTTTCCAAAAGCTGCCCATAACCCTAAAGGATAAAGGACTTTTATGTCTCCCAGACTTGAATTTCCCTTGCCTATGACATCATCTGTTCCCACTATCCCACTAAAAATCACTTTTCATTTGCCTCAATTACATGAGATGTTTTACTTTCATTGATGTTTCTTGTTAAAGACAAAAACAAAATATACTCCTCCCTCCCCCCATACACAGAGACTCTGCATAAAAAGGATCACGAAGGTGGTTTCTGCTATCGCAAAACACTGGTTGTCAAATTCACAGATGTACAAAGCTAGGCAGGATAACTAAGGAAACAGATGCCAGAAGCCAGATTCAAAAAGATTTCAACAGGCTGCAACAAGGGGCCAAAAGCAACAAGATAAAATTTATTAGGGTTAAATGCAAAGTCCTGTGCTTAGGTTCAAAAAATTACTAACTGCATAAGAACAAAAGGGATCTAATTAATAGCCTTCCATATGGGAGAAGACAAGAGATTTTGGTCAACTGCAAGTCCAACGTCGCCAATACTGTGAAACGGCTGCCAAGAAAGCAATTTTAATCATCGGGTCCATTAAGAGAAGTATATACTGGATCATGGGGAAGTAATAGTTCCATTATTCTCTGCACTGATCAGACTGCACTCGGAGTACATGCTCAGCTTTAAATATGACATGTCAATGGAGACCCTGACAATCTAGAGAGCATCTAAAGGTCCATGACCAAGATGGTGAAAGGTCTGAAAGCCAAGTCATATGAGGAAGAGTTAAATGACCTGAGGTTGCTACTCAGAGAAGAAATGAGGAAATGTGGATTAACTTTAAACGTATTTGAAAATTGCTATCACATAGAAGATGAAATAAGCTTATTTTTATTGTAGCTCTGTTACACGTAGCTCTAACCACTGGGTATAAGATAAAAAGATGTAGATACTACTCTCTTCATAAAATTAAGAATTTTTAAACAAGTCATGTCATCCAGAAATGGAATGTAAGCTCTTGAGGGCTAGGATTTCCCAGTACATAACAGGGCCTGACACATAGTAGGCTCTCAATAAATACACGTTGATTTGAACTAGTTGGAATAAGCCATCTAGTGAAATAGGGAGCCCTGTCACTCAAAATGTCCAAGAGAGGTTATCTGTATCCCCATCAGGGAGATCAGAGAAGGAATTCCTGAACTGGAAAGGAGGCTGGACTCTCTAGGGTCCCTTCACACACTTAAGATTCTTTGATTTTATTAATTCTACCCCCAAATAGGGAGAAAATGTTAAGTTGCTGCATTAGATTGTATTTATAACTTTAAAAGAGGCTGCTTTTCCTTTGTTCACAGAAGTTGAATTTCTGTTCACAAGATTAGTGGTTACTTAGAATTGAGATTTCTTCCTGTTGCAAATTTTCCAAATCTCTCTGTTTATTTGTATTGGAATCACAAATAGGCAAAACAATTCTCTCTTGAAGCGGCTTTTGAAGTGCTAAACAACTGAGAATAATGTCCAGATTCATGTGTGGCTGTTCAAATCGTTTTAGGTTCGAGTCACATGAGGAGAAGAGATTGAATTTTGCTTTAGAGTGGTTTCCCCTCCCCCACCGCCACCCTTTGGAAAGATTTCCACGCGCAGTAAAATTGCAATGAACTTCAAGTTTGCCAAGAATTGGTAAAGTCCTTTTGCCACAAACTGTTTTTAAACTGAAATTTTTAGGAGGTTCCCAGTTTGAGGAAAATAGTACCTCATATAGGAAAGCCTGACTCTGGTTATATTAAGGAGAAGAATGAGTCAAACTGCTAAAAAGTTACAACTATTATCATAAGTCAACTGCATTAACAGTGAAATGGAGTTTCCCTTTTTAAAAAAAAATGTTTTACTGATGTCTTTTGTCATTCTATCAGTCATTTGGAGGAAAGGGGAGAGAAAGCTCCCCCTCTCCTTTTCCAGATTGAACCCTCCAAGGGAACAAAGAAAAAATTAAGAAAGAATGGCCAATAGTGCATCAGACAGTGGACGCAATATTCTGTTCTAGCATTTCCATGTCTCAATGCCATGATAACAGTAACAAAAATAATAACAGCTAATATTTATATAGTGCCTACTATATAACCAGGCACTATGTTGAGAACCTAACAATTATATGATCCTCACAACAACCCTGGGAGGTAGGTGCTATTATTATGCCCATTTTACAGATGGAGAAACTGAGGTAGACAGGCTAAGTGACTTGCCCAGGAACCAACAACTAGGAAGTGTTTGAGGCTGGATTTGAACTCAGGTCTTTCTGACTCTAAATATATATATTATCTGTTCTCTAGGACCACCATTTTTTTTTAAATAATAGATTTATTTTTAGTTTTCAACATTTACTTCCACAAGATTTTGAGTTCCAAATTTTCTCCCCATCTCCCCCCCCACCCCAAGATGGCATGCATTCTGAATACCCCTTCCCCTAGTCTGCCCTCCCTTCTACCTCCCCCCCTTCTCTTATCCCCTTCCCCTTCAATTTTCCTGTTGGGCAGGATAGATTTCTATACCTCATTTCCTGTATATCTTATTTCCCAGTTGCATGCAAAAACAATTTTTTTTTAACATTTATTTTTAAAACTTTGGGTTCCAAATTCTCTCCCTTCCTCCCTCCCCACCCACCCTCATTGAGAAGGCAAGCAACTCAATACAGGTTATACATGTATAGTCATGCAAAATGCTTCCATAGTAGTCATGTGGTGAAAAACTAAGTATATTTCCCTTAATCCTATCCTGCCCCCCATTTATTCTATTCTCTCTTTTGACCCTGTCCTTCCTTAGAAGTGTTTGCTTCTAATTGCCCCCTCCCCCAATCTGCCCTCCCCTCTATCATCCCCCTGCTCTCTTGTAGGACCACCATTTTTTGTTTTTGGCTTTCAATTACTGAGAGTGCAGCTTTCTTTGAGAATTTTTTTACCCCCCTTTATATTGTGTATAATACTCTTTGGGCTCTGGTTACCTTGCTCTGCACCAGTTCATTCAAATCTTCCAGCGTGTCTCTGAATTCCTTATATTTATCCTTTCTTATTAAATGATATTCCATTACAATCACAGACCCTAGTTTTTAGAACCATTTGTCAGCTGATTGGGGCCCATTTTGTTTCCAGTACATTGCCACCAGAAGAGGTGCGGCTCCAAACACACTGGGACGACTCAGACACCTTCATTTCTGTCCCGGACATCGTTGGGGCCCAGCAACAGGATCGATGGATAAAAGGCTACAGACAGGTTAGGCACTTTCATTGCATGATTCCAAACTGAACAAATGGACCAGTCCACAGTCACTCGTCTTCCCATGGCCTCACCAACATTGACTATCTTTGGTTTTTGTCATCTTCGACAATTTTGGAGTGTAAAGGGAAAATGCAAAATCTGTTGTTGTTTATTTTAATTTGTATCTCCTTGTTAATGGATTAGAGAATGTCTTCAAATAATCATTTATAGTTGGAATGAGTTTCTAAGGCTCAAGTATAATAATTAAAACTTTAACTTTAAAATTATAAATACCCTTTCATATTCAGTTGTTTTCTTTCTAATCAGTACATAAACATTTTTTAAAAATTTAAATTGATATTTTCCTACACAAAAGCTCCTTTTACATTAGCAAGTTGTAGGAAATAGATGGCACAATGGATAGTGAACTGGGCCTGGAATCAAGAAGATTTGAGTTCAAATCTGCCCTCACCTGTTGGTTGTGTGATCGCGTGCAAATCACTTAACCTCTGGTTGCCTTGCTTTTTCAACTGTAAAATGGGGATAATAAAAATGATACCAACCTTTCAGGGTTATTGTGAAGATCAAATGAGATAATATTTGCAAACAACTTGATATAGTGACTGACACATAGTAGTTATTATATAAATACTAGCTATTATTATTATTATTATTATTTATATATTCCACTTAACTGTTAGTACCACTATTAATTATAATTAGTTTACCTTCATTCTTTTTCAATGTTTCTAAATTTACTATCATTCCAGATAGAATTTCAGCCCAGTTTTGGTTTAATTCAAGTCATCAATTATTCCAAGTTGTTTATATTGGAAAAAGCAAGAATTACCCTTTTCAGTTAACTTCTAATTTTTGGTTCTGTATAGACT